ACTACTAAGTGCTGTATCTTATTCTCGTGCTGTTTCAGGCACATTCAAAATCTATGAGTCAACACAAATTGTGTCAAAAGGGCCTTTCTTTACATGTATTTCCTATAAAGATAGAAAAAGTTACAAACTGAGCCTATCTGTCCTGATTTCAGACCATTTAAATTCTGCCTCCAGGTTTAATCTAATTATAATAATTGAACAGCTGTAATCAATATCTGCTCTTACTAACCACCAGTGTACCTAGTTTAAAGCTACTGTACTGTATTGTATGTCCAGGTTGCCACTCATTGATTTATGTTATTAGGTATATTTTAATTACTGTTCGGATGAATGCACAAATATTTATTCTTTCAGAATTTGTTCAAAGATTTTGTACATATGCTTGTAACAATGAGAAAAAACATGTCAGTAATGATTATGTCTCCAAAATTTTTCTACCATAATCTGCTTCTTTTTGGTATATGCAATATACCACCATTGTCTCTCCTGAAATGTTTTTTCCAACTTGTCTTCTCCAATTTGTCAATCGGCATCTAATAACCTTAACAAATTACGCTTGCTTCCATGCTATTTAAATAAAAGGAATCATTTATTTCAATTTAAGGCAATCCAATAGAAACCATATTACATCAAACAATCAACATAGAATATATCGTAGCATAAAAGAGATAAAAGTCATTGCCATGCAAATAAAAAGTGCTATGAATGGAGAAAGAAATATAGATAGGTGAAAACATGCTGGGTGGCTGTAAGAGTTAGGTAAGTAGATGATATTTTGATTTGGGCAATAAGACTGCATGTTCAACAGCCTTACTTCATGTCTTAGAAGATTGCCTAAAAAAAGATCGTCACTGTTTCCATTACAACTTAGAGCTATTCTATGGGGCTGAGATTCCGCAGTTTTGCCCACCTAAAAAGCTGACTTTTATGTCAGATATCTTTCTCTTGCAAACATTGCATCTTTAGTCAGTGGAGCACCAATTTGCATGATGTAGGTTTTCTTGCTCTTCCACTCACACACGTGAGGACAAGATTGTTCTGACATGCTTCACCATGCTTTTACAAAGATGCAGTACAGAGAACTGCAGAGTAAACAATATCCACCAGTTGCACTTTTACTGTCAGCAATGCACAAATAGAAGATGGGTTACAACCAACATGCACAGACATTCTGCTCATTCAATATTTGGGCCATGATACCTCCCACTGTCTCCTTTGGAAGCTTTTCATTCTGAAAAGGACAGGGAGGGCGAGAGAAATCTCCGTATAGTGCTAAGACAAAGAAATTAATTTATTTTGAGGGTTGGAAGACCATATAGCTGTGCAAGTAACATTTTGGGGAGTATAATTCACAGCAAAAGCAAAATGAAAAATAGAACTCTCGTTCATTGTAAATAGTTCAGGATTTCTCCCTGAGATTATATCATTCAGCATATGGGCTGGGTAGTTTTATACAATAATTCTAGCCTCAGTCCAAGAATTTCTAGCTGAAAATAATTTCACCAACTAGTTGGGGGTCAACAGAAGATCTGGACTGAGCAGACTGTCAGTCATTATCAGCTGCTGAAATCCAGCAATTTTTAGTAAGCACCAAAAGAACCCCACTACTGAACTCTGGATTTTTTTTTTAAAAAATGTTGACTAGTTTATGGGTAAGACAACCACTAGCATAGAATGGGTATTATAAAGATAAGTGGCAAAGTAAAACCACTAAGACAGCCATAAACTGGATCCAATATAGCCGAAATGGTAAGAAAGGACACTGCATATCTCTTCTCCTAATTCTGTATCACATCTCTGTTGGTGCAATAATGTAATCTATAAAGGCATCTTTGATCCACAGGTAGGGATTTCTTCTTTCATTCCAGTCTCTGGGTTAATCTGCTTTGTTCCAATTTACCTGATGGTTATACCTGTGGGAAAGACATCATGTCTAGTAACAATTAGGACACCGGGCTTCTACAGAGTTTTGCAATATCCTGTTGTTATTTCTACTTACAGTGGAACTTGTCTTATTTCATTTTAAACAGAGGAACTTCTGGACCACAACTGTCATGGACCAACTGGTTCATATGATCTCACATGTTAAGCATGCAAACTCCTTTGTCCCTCACATCAGTGGAGCAAAAAAATTTTTATAGCTCTCACTATTCTTTCTGTGACCCTCATGACCCAGTAGAGCAAGAGGGCCCAAGTCCTTGAATTTTCTTTTACATTGGGGACAAAATAATGCCTTAAACCTTGATGTTTATAGCACCCATGACATTATTCCTTATGTTCCCTGAATCTTCTCCAAAATAGGTCCTGGGTCCACCCACTTTGGAAGTATGTGTTGTGCAAAGACCAACATGGCTGATGGGTTATCAAGGATGCATACTCTTGCCGTACAAATTGGAAGAGCTGAATGATGTTCCAGTATATAGAGTCTGAGAACACCTAAGATGTTAACTACCTTTAGTTAAGCGAATGTCTATGGAGATTCTCAGTCATCCAGGTCATGGTTGTCTCAAAGGTGCTTTTTCATGAGGCAACTGAACTTTGTTTTTATTTGAAGACGTTTCACTTTTCATCCAAGACACTTCTTCAACATCGTCAAAATTGAACAGCCCTCTCTCAACAGAGGGAGAGGGATACAACATCATCTATCTCCATCTACAACACAGTCCTTTCAGCAGTTCCAAGAAGGCTCCACTTGCACCTCTCAGGTGACCTTGAGGACACAGATAAACCTTCAAGTGGCCTCAGCGACTCTCTAAAAGAATGCAAATGACCAGCTGTCTGCAAGGAATATAAATCCTTCCATTCCCCACTATCCAGTTAGAGCTGAAGAAGCTTCTTGGATGAGAAGCGAAACGTCTTCAAAGAAAAACAAGAAAGTCCAGTTGCCTCCTGAAAAAGCACCTTTGAGACTACCTTTAGTTAAATTTTGATTAACCCTAAACAAATTAATTGTAGAACAAGAAGTGCCTTGCAACTTGTATCACTTGTATTATCACTCTGAAGGAGACAGCTGGGCATAATTGCTCGGCTGCTGCTTAATACACTTTCGCTCTCCTATAATTGAGCAAAATACCAGCCAGCTGCAATGCAAATCTTATTAACAGATCAGAAAGATTCGAAGAGTGAGTTCTTGAAGTAGACCTTCTTTGAACTTCTACAAAGCAGTCAGTTAAAAGGGGTGGTGGTGGAATATTTGAGATGCTGCAAATAATTAAGCAAAGTAGTACATCCTTTGCCAAATGAGAATCAACAATTGGAAAGTGGAGGCCTCATCGTAATTTTTTTTAATTGGCCTATATAATCAATGTGTTCAAATCCTCAGAAGCTTCAATTCTTGCACTTAACCCCGAGAAGGAACATAGCATAATCTTTGATTTCATTTCTGATCTCTGTCTTTCTCCTTCCTACCTTCTGGGAATAATTTAGGTACCATCACTGGAGAGGGAACTGTTCCCTAGCTAGCTCTCCTACGGAAAGAGAACATCAACTACCAGAGTGGTTGTATAATTAGATAATAATAGCAATGCAAAAATTGGGTCTGGAGAGCTGGAAGGAGTCTCAAGATGGGCAAATAATTATGAGTAAGAGGAAGTTTACCTGCTGCCATTGAGGGAATTATTCATGAGCAGAATCCAAATAGCCTTTCATTCTGGTCTTAGTGATAGGACTGGAATATCTGCCTGGATAAGTATAATGGGGCTCATGGGGTCTCCATCCCTGCAGCCATTCATCAGGGATGATGTGAGGATTTCTGCCTAAATGATCTGCTGTCTGCAAGGAATATAAAACCTTCCATTCCCCACCATCCAGTCAGAGCTGAAGAAACTTTGAGAAGCGAAACATCTTCAAAGAAAAACAACAAAGTCCAGTTGCCTCTTGAAAAAGCACCTTTGGGATGCTCTAAGGCAGGTGGTTGAAGACCTCCATGATCCCTTCAAACTCTATGATTTTACTTTCTTCCAGAAAAGAATGGAACTGCTGAGAAATTGCTGGAACTCTGTACTGGGTTGCATTTGCAAATTATGAAAATTGGACAGTTTTATGTTTTCATGTGGCAGCTCTCATTTGCTCTGAATGAGCAGACTGTTGTTAATGTTTTATATTGCTAACCTGATAGGCAAAACCACAATAAGGTATTCAAACAAATCAGGCTCAGTTTTAATTTTCTTCTCTGATGTTCCAAATTCGTCATTAATGCCCCACACAGAAATGTCAGATATCAAAGGCAAGAGAGAAATTAGTTTCCAGGTAGATACTGGAAACCAGAGCTTTAGAAAAATTTAAAAAGGGACTTAAGGGAGGCATTAAGACCTATTAATTAACAATCCAAGCCTGCACAAATATTGCCAAAGCAGATTTACAAACAATAAAGGGAATTGGGCAAGCTAGGGATGGGGTTTAGTACAAGAACTAGTAGCAGCATCAACATGACATCAAACAGATACTCAACCACAATAGTTAGCCTGCCAAGTCAATCCAGAAGTTGAGCTGTTACAAAGGAAAGACAGAGGGCCTAATATGTGGCAGGCAGATGATACACAGGCTATAAAAATTCCCAATAATTCAAAACTTCTCAAAGCTGGAAGGAGGAGGGGAAAGGGATGCTTGGAAGATTTATGGAAATCCATCACACATACCATAAGCAAAATTACTCATGTAACTTCCTGAAGACAAACTAGACTCCATCTTGGTTACTTTCCTGAAAGGAAATGAGGATGCTTACCAATGATTGAGTGTGTCCTTTTTAAAAAATACCCCCTCCCATTTTTGCTGTTTCCCAAATGGAAATGTCTATGAGTTAAACATATTGTTGTGTCAACATTTCAGCATAAACAGTTCTCAATATGAACTTTTTGGAAAGAGAACACTGTGGATTTTCTCATTCTGGTGTGATACTGCCTGGATCTCGGGCCCCAGAAAACAGATAGGCAGACACCAAAGAGTGACCGGTGTTTCGACGCCTCTCTCTCTCTAAAATTGCTCTTTTCTTTGCCCGATCTTCAGATTTCGGTTTGAAGGGTGTGGCTTGAGGGGGAGTAAGGAGGTGGAGCTGGATTAGGCTTGATGCCACGCCCCTTCATGTAGGAGATGAACTGATCTGGAATCTCAGCCAGCACATCCTTAGCCAGCCGTGCCATACTCAAGACGTGGTTTCCTGTGCGGTCAATGTAATCACGGAATGGTACAAACTGAGAGAGAGATATCAACATACATATTTTTATAATCATTTATTTTTCAGTTTAGACAGCATCACAAAGTAATGTAAAAGGTAATCATGTATTTAAATACTCCAGCTACTTATTGTGCCCAAACCTCCCAGCTGAAAGACTTCAATAGAGACAGAATTTGTTAGAGAATTCACTAATCTTAGATAAATTAAAATAGGCCAGGCTATGCTATTAAGGCCAACATAATGGCCAAGGCCTTAATGTCCCCATAATTATTAAATTATCTTTAAAATACTAGACTCGGAAAGAACAACTTAGGGGGCTATACAGGAATGGGGAGTTACTCAGTTATGTTAGTTTGATAAAGGTATTTTTGTTGTTGGCCATGTCTATAACAATAATCCTTGAGTGAGCATTCCCATGTCATGCTTGCAAATTCAAAATTTGCTTAAGTCTCAAAAGGCTATCTAACTCTGTTTAATTCCTCTTTGTGTGTATATAAAAATTAGGAGCACAAGAACTGCTTTATACCACAACAAATCTTTGTCTATCAACTCTCCACTGTTCCATGTAGGCAACTTTTATATCATGTATTAAACTTGGAAATTTCTCTATGTAAACATATACTCTCCCAATCAGCTCTTATCCTGAGAGTTGTTTTCTTTCCATAGTGATCCAAAACTAGAATGTTTCCATGTCCATTAGACTGAGTAGGCTGGGGAAAACTATTTACTCAGAGCTTGCCAGATTTTGTTCAGACAACTTGCAAGGTGGCTATTGTTGCTCACACACAATCTGAGATTTAAATGTTCTAAAAATTTTAGAAAAATCTCACTGAGAAACCACCTGGTTTCAAGATTTTGCTAGTGAATGTGCACAATAAAGCAATATTGTTCTCTTCTAAATACCTGGACAATGTCACGTTCAGCAGTCCTTCCACGAGATGTGATCCGAACATCATCTCCATCTAATTCCACCATTGCTGTTCATTGGAGGAAGGGGAAATGAATGTTTATCGACTATTAAAAGTTCAATGGGAATAAGACAGTGAAGAGCCAAAAGCTCCAAAAATTTGCTTGTGCCACAAACAATTGATTAATGACTGGGGGGAAAACTTGTAAAAAATAGCATTACTCTTTTCTTTCAAAAAGTTGAACTGGAATCATATACTGAATATTCTCTTTGCATGTTGCAACTTGCTTTCTTAATGAACCAATCAACGTTCAGGTCCCATTTTTCTCCACAAAGTATAATTAAGTCATTACACTTTACCTGTTGAATTGCGTTATTCAGATTTTCAGCAAATGATAGTTCTTGCACAGATGACTATCAATACAAGGCTTAACAGTTGTTAATTGAAAGCTCAAGCAAATACATGACAAATTTTAACAGCTGCTCTACATTAAATGCTGTATATATATTTTGACAAATCATATTTCATTAAAAGAAGCTAGGATGGCTGTTCAGATCTTTAATCACAGAAATGTATATCTGCTAATTGCTCTAATTTATTTAGAAACTTTTATTTTCAATATTCATAATCAAAGTATTGGATGGCAAGAATTTAAGACTCATGTTGCACATTACATACATTACAGAGATAATATATTTCCAGATCCCAAAATATCTTTCCCAAAGATCGGAATAAGCTGCTTAAAGAGTTGGCAATAATCTATATATTGGTTTATTTAAGTAAGGTTTGTTTTAATACATTATTGTGTTTATATTCCACCTTTTCTCTGGGAACTAAAGATTATACACTGGGAACTCTCCTAACCTGATTCTCACAGTAATAGACTTGTAAAATAGGTTGATCAAGAATAAAACTGGCCTAAAGACATTCAGTGAGTTCTGTGCTCACATGAAGATACGAAGTGCAGTCAAGTCTAATGTTGTGTGAAACCAATTTCTGTTTTGCTATGTTTATGGGCATTGCAATGCTGATTGCCACTATTACAGGCATCTACAGAAAGTCATGATGACATCATGTATGCCACAATGGACGGCATCATGTAAATGATGGAAAAGTCCCAACTTGTTCATTTGTGTAATGATATCATGATGCATATGATGTCACCTGCCCCACCTCCGTAATGAATACCCATGGCTGTTGATTAAGTGGAGAACTGAATTTATATTAGACTAGTATAGCCTTATTATTCTCATATTTCCTATCTCATATTGGAGACAAGGTACACAACATAGATTCTTACCATCGAATTCAGCCTGTCCAACACCCACAATTATTATAGACATTGGAAATCTGGCAGCCTGAGGACCAGCAGGAAACAAGTAAAAATAGAGGAGGACGTGCAAAATGGAGATGGGAAGAAGAAACAAAGAAAGAGCCTGAATTAAGAACAGACAACTACAAAATAATACGGAGAAAGCTGAATTAAATAAATCCAGAAGTCCACTCCCTCCCTTCATGCAGTCAACATGCTGGCTGTACTCAATTCATCATAATGTCTTCACTGCTTGGCTCCACAGCCCTCTGTGCGTTTATTTATTTATATTTATTTATTAAATTTACATGCCATTCATCTCACTATATGCAATTCATCTGGGTGGCTTACAGCGTGATAAAAAGATAATACAAAAGGATTCAGAATTAAGAAAGATTAAATAAAGACTAAAAATCAAGAGGTGGAAGTTATTGAAAGAGTAAAAAAAAAAGATTTCTAATGATACACTGTGTTCTCTAATCTGCCTGAGCTTGTCCTTAACACGCTGTCCTGTTATCAAATTATCTAACTCCTTTTTCTTCCCCTTCAGCAATCAGTGACTGTTTTTTGCTGTTAAATGCAGAAGTGGCAATAATCAGGGCTCTTTGCTATAACAGATCTCTAGCAATGTTGAACAATGGACTGCAGCAACAATTTAATCAGGAGCACACTCATCACTCATCAGCACTGGAATCAAAAACAGAGCACATGGCAGTGTCTTAATGGCTGGAAACAGAAGGGTGGGAGGGGCAGATGGTGCACAGAAGCAAACACTTGCATAACAAGAAGCTTCGTTTATTCATACGGTCCAGCTGATCTTCAAATCCCCTGTGGGAAACCTGAGTTCAAGGTTCATTGGAGCCATGGGAAGAGTAGCTTCGGGCAAGTGATTTTTCTTCCTTCCTTCCCATTATTTGTGGAAAAAGCCTGAGTGACCTCTTTCATTTGTCCCACAGCACACTGAGGCCCACAACCTGGGCAGGGCCAGGATACATTTGGGGTGAGGTGGTTTGAAAGAGTGAAAAGAATGCTTTAAACCAGGGGTAGGCAACCTTGGCTCTTTTATGACTCGTGGACTTCAACTCCCAGAATTCCTGAGCCAGCATGGCTCAGATTTGGAAACCTCTCCCTTTCCCCTCAGCGTGGCTGGCTCAGGCATTCTGGGAGTTGAAGTCCACGAGTCATAAAAGAGCCAAGGTTGCCTACCCCTGCTTTAAACGTTTGCTTACACTCCCTACTTGGCTGAACCTCCTAAAACTGATCCAAACCCCAACCAAAATAATAAAAAAGAGGGGCTGTGTGTTTAGACCTTCTCCATGATGCAGTCCTCAAAAGGAATACTAGCAGGCCTTTTTCTTTTTCTCTTGCTGTATGATTTAAGGCTGACTGCTGTTTATCTGCTTTGGCACCCCATGGATTAGATGAGGCTAAATATTTGGTAACATAAAGTGTGGGGAATCTGTGGGCTTCCGGCCTTCGTTGAACAGCAGCCTCAGCTAGCATGGCCACAAAGGTGGAGGTTGTAGCTGAGCATCATCTGGAGGGCTACAGATTTTCCCCTCCTGGTGAAAGGATTACCAATACAATCATGTAATGCACCGAGCACTTCATGGCACGATGCACACAATATTTAAGAGCTAATGCATTGAGTATGGACTTAGCTTGATGTCCATCCATTTTGGCTTGTAAACCCTGGTTTCTTTCTTGTAGGCTGGTATTATGTATGAGTGAGGCATAGGAATTATAAGCAGTGGCCTCAGGAGGATCTTGTTGCTTTTGTTAGAATAAGGAAAGAGACAAGCTCGATCTCTTTGGGGCCTGTGTAACATCACAACACATGTAAGAAAGGGGAAAGGCTACGATACCACAATGCTGCTTTTGTCAGAGTGACCTACTTTGCCCCTTCTTGTGGGATGCCACTGATTCTGAATCTGATTGGAAATGCTGTATTAATAATAACCAGTTGCCTGGGAAAAAGAATATAGACACAAAACGACAAAATTGGAAAGGGCGATTTAGTACCCTGAGTCCAAGCCTTGCTCAATACAGGAATTCAAATGAAAGCATTCCCAACAAATGCCTTTCCTGCCTCTGTGCTTCCTCAGGGTTTCCCATAGTTAGTAAAAGAGGCAGAGCCTATGATTCCTGTTAGAGAACATTCAGTAGATTTACAATAGGGAAAACGGGAATATGCTACGGCTGCAAGATTATTTATTTTTTATTTTATTTTACAAAATTTATATGCCGCCCTTCTCCCCATGGGACTCAGGGCGGCTCACAGCATGTTAAAACAATATACAGAATTACCCCTTCTAAAAACCAATTAAAATCCAAATATTAGTGGCTGTGACTATTTAAAATCATTAAAAATTATCCCTATTTAAAATTATACCTCTTACTGTGGCTAGCAGTAAATTCCAGGCGCTCAGCTTACTAATATGCTATGCTGCAGAACTGAAGCCCTTTTTTTCCCACCCCACCCAGCACATATAAGAACATGTCTGTCATTTGACAAAGCTGAAATCAGAGTGCTACATTCCCCACGTGAGCTACTCACATTGACAATTGCTTCTTTTGTCTGAGCCATGTCTGATATCACACCATCCGTGATGATAAGTAAAATGAAATACTGGGAGCCATCCTGCACAGCTGAGGCATATCTGATTTGGGAGGAAATAATATTGAATACGATAAGATATATGTAGGTTCCTAGTGGACCTTTGAACCCTGAACTGAACACAAATGGTGAAGCATCAAATTGTAATCCTACAAGCATTAGTAGAAACAATTCATTTCTCAAAAAAAGGTGTCCATTGCATTTTTACTTGTAACTGTACAAGTCAGGAGCGTCTGTAGGATTCTGGGTATTATGAGAGGGATTTGCTTATGTTAAGTGTATGGGTAATGCGTTGAAGTTGAGGGATGGGCTTGTGGCATATTAGGATGGATATAAGGAAGGGAATGTTCTTTGCTTCCAGGATAATGCAGTGCGAAATAGACTAGGACTTTGATAGGCAGGGGAAGAGTGGGGTGCAGATGTGATAGTATGTGAAATGCTCGCATTGATGAAGAGCATTTGGATATAGTTAGATTGCAAGTGCCTTTGTGTGGAATTAAGTAGCAAAGACAAGCTTGGGTTGCTGACATATACAGTCCATCTAAACACCAACCCTCTATTAATTCCTGGATGTTGTTTTAGGATTGGTGTTGGAGTTCCCCAGATTTCATGGGTGATTTCAACCCTGCATACCCTGGGGGGACAGTCCATATAGCTTGTGTATCCCAAGACAATCATGGGCTTGTTAGATGAAAATGGGGAAACAACAGGTATGAGTGGGCATGTTTGATTTGGTCTTACTTTAGGAGCAGATGACAAGGAAGGACAATGATACCTACCCTGGTCATAGTTAATTCTCTTGCCTACCAGACTGCCTATCTTGTCCATATGTCCCAATTGTTTTGGGGAATGCAGATTAGCTTCTCATAAGTGTACATGTGCATCTATGACCACCTCCAATTCAGAGTTGTTTTCCTTTTTTTTGTGAATTTGAATATGGGATATGTTTTGTCACTTGGCTATGTTCCCTTCTGTATTGCAATCCTAATAAATACAACATGCAAATCCATTGAAACTGTCAGTTTATGGGATTTCTGGCTTGTAAAAACAAGTGGCATGAATTTGTGTGCCTGCTTTATGGCAAGAAACTTTCAAAGTCATGCTTTATAAAGTACTTTATACTTGTATGAACCTACCCAGCGACGTGGTTAACCACTGGTGCAAAGTTAGTTGGGCCATAGAGCTGCACAGTCTTGAGACTCTGGTGATAGGCTTCAAGGATTCCTTCTATTCCACTACAGTGAGGATTATCACCGTTGCCATTCTGCAACAGAAAAATGGAGACACAACTAAAGGCAATCTCCAGGCAGTGACTGCATCTTAACAATCTTCCTTCGGCTGCTTGAATCCTTCCATCTGTCTCTAAACACCCTTTCATCTAATAATGTGCCACAACAAAGCGAAAAATACCAGGCAGGAGGATGGTTACCTATGAATAACAGGTTTTTTTTTTAAAAGACCCAGTTATAAAACTTACGTTAAAACAGTCGAGCAGCTTGGCTTCCTTCTTAAAAGAAAGACCATATGACTGCTCCAGATCAGGATTTTACTGAGACAGATTAGGAGCTTTATCTTTGTGGTTCTCTACGGCAGCTTTGATCTATGACTGGCTATATTTCTTGCCACGTGTATCTTATCTCTCTCCCTGCAGGTTAGATCACACAACATGCATGCATTTTTGCGTGTGGAATATGAAAAGACAAAACTACTGCTAGCTATCTCTAAGTAATGCATGCATCCTTAGATTTATCATGAAGGACTCCCTCCTTGTTGGAAGCACAGATTAAGCAGATGCAACTGAAGCTGCCTCTCAGGGGTTTAAAGGGATAGCAATAGTAGTGAAGACATTTTTTCTTGGGTTGAGAGTTCCTGCTGATTTTACAGATAGGTCAACATTTAAAAGGGCCCCAGATAACATTGCTTCTTTTTTTATTATAACCCTCAAGGTTTATAACTCGGGAGTAGGCAATCTTTGACTTCCAGATGCTGCTATAGTACTTAGCTGAGCTTGCTAAAAATGTAGTGAGGAAGATCTGGGGGTCCATAGGGCTTTTTGTAAATAAATTCCATGCTCCTTGAAAAGCCAGGCCATTGCCAAGGAAAGCAGGACTACACAGTACCAACCAGCCTATTCATTTTATCCAGGAGCAAGGAGAAATAAACAGGGTAGAAAAGGGGGCTTATTCCCTAGTCAGTGTGATTAGGATTGCAGCTTAAAAGATCCATTGAGTCTACTGTCAATTAAACAAATTCTCTGCCAACAGAATTATATGGCGTTTTGCTCTCTCCAGAAAAGGCATCTCAGAATGTGACACATTGGACTCCTCAGTCTGGCACTTGATCTGATCTGAAACAAAGCGTCCCCCGGGAGCTGTTTCTGAATGCTGGTGTGACTCAAAGGGAAGTGTCAGTACCAAAGGGAACTCATGAGACACACGCCCGTCGGGGGGAATCTTGGCTCCAAACCCAAGCGCTGGGAACATTTTATCACTGTCATAGTCCTGGATGATCTCCCCAACAGCCTTCAGTGCCATGGCGTATGCATTGAGCTGGTATGGATTCATGTAATGAAGGGAGGTAGACTGAGAAGGATTGCCTGCAGAAAATAGAGAGAGAAAGAGGAAGAATCCGAAGGAGGGAGAAGGAACAGAAGTGAATTCACTGCCTGGGAGCCAGCTGCATTGATGAAGTTTGCTTAAAGCAAAAACAAAACAAAACAAAACCCTTATCTGGAATGCTGTAATTGGGAACCTCTCCGCGAGGAGCTTCACCCGATGCTACATTATCTTTCAGAACTGGCAATCGTGACATTTTCATCCTCTCAAGCACTTCAGTGGTTGGTATTTGAAGTACTGAAAGGATGTTATATTTTAAAAACAGAAACTGGAATTTGCATTGCTATTTGAATTAGTATTGAATCTGTTATTCATTTGTATTGCTCTACTATACCTGCTCAACATTATGCAGGGCCATATACAAATGCTCTAAACCAGTGATGGCGAACCTTTTAGAGACTGAGTGCCCAAAAACCACCACCACCCCCGTCCCTGCTCCGCCCTGCCCGCTGGGCCACCCACCACCTCCACGGCCCGCCACAGATCACCCAGGCAGCCCAGCAGCGCCATGGTGGCCATGCCCTCCGCCTGTGCCCCGCAGCATCATCTGCTTGCGATGGGGCGCAAGGGCGGAGTCTTGTCCCCGCTGCCCGGCTACCATGTCCTTGGCTGTGCTGCTTTGCGTGGGCCGCGCCCAGGGGTGACTCTCCTCCAGGGGGGTTGCTGGTGAGGAGGGGGCCGTGGGAGGAGGTGGGGCTGGGACGACAGTGCGTGTGCCCACAGAGAGGGCTCCGAGTGCCGCCTCTGGCACGTGCACCATAGGTTCGCCACCACTGCTCTAAACAATTAAAACACATCAAGCCAATTATACACACCTTATATACTTGAATTGTCATACAATCTCTACAGTAATCTGCAGTTATTTTTAGAGTTACCTTTAGACAATGCCAAATAAAATCTATATAGTGCAGTTATTCTATTGTTTTTATATTGCTAACTTTCTATGGTAAGGAAAAAAAAGATAATAGAAGCACAGGAAGATATATAAGGCCTAGAAGTTAGAAGAGGTAGTAATTGTCATTACTGTACAGGTAGTTCTAGACTTACAACAGTTCATTTAGTGACTGTTCAAAGTTACAATCTCACTGAAAAAGGTGACTTATGACCATTTTTCTCACTTATGACCGTTGCAGCATCCCCATGGACACTTGATCACAATTTGGATGCTTGGCACCTGGTTCATATTTATGATGGTTGCACTGTCTCCGGATCATGTGATCATCATGTGATCACCTTCTGCAACCTTCTGACAAGCAAAGTCAATTGAGAAGCCAGATTCACTTCACAACTGTGTTACTAACTTAACAACAGCAATGATTCACTTAACAACTGTGGCAAGAAAGGTCATAAAATGGGGCAAAACTCACTTAACAAATGTCTCACTTAACAACATACGTTTTGGGCTCCATTGTGGTCATAAGTTGAGGACTACCTGTATCTGGACATCTAATGAAATTTCATGAAATAGACAGCAGGTGGCACAATAAGTCTTATCTTGCTATATTGAAATACTCTTAAGATCTCTGCAGATCTTATCTACAAGTACAAGCAGACGTGCATTGTGTGCATGTACAAAAGAGAGCATTAGCTTGTTTATGCAGCTAAAATAAGGAAAGTTCTTGGCAATGATTTTCCAAGGCACATATTCGCACCTTTTACATTCGTATATGCATCGCCAGTCTTGCTCACCTCTTCTAATTTTGTCCCTGAAACTAGTTCACAAAAATCAATACAACAGGAGACCACATTCCTGTCTAAAGTGAATTGAGGCTGATTTTTAAAGCAAAAAAGTGATGAGAGAAGCTAATTTTTGCCTTTTTCTTTATTATCTCATCACACCTTTCCATGGTTCCTAGCTGAAGTTTGTTTCCAGAATGAAATAGTTTGCTTTATCATTTGATATTGAATTTGATGATAAGATGCCATCCACATTTACAGGGCCGGGCAATGCAATCTGACCTTATGTTACAAAGCTCAGAATTAAAAAAGAATCAGCTTCAGAAGTTTAGAAGGGGTATTAGATAGTTTTATGGCTCTTTTATGACTCATGGACTTCAACTCCCAGAATTCCTGAGTCAGCATAGCTGACTCAGGAATTCTGGGAGTTGAAGTCCATGAGTCATAAAAGAACCGAGGTTGCCTACCCCTACCTTAGGTTATGATCTAATGAATGGTAACTTCCTGGGAAAAGCTTCCACTGAACATAATAGGCACTTTTATGCAATATGCTTAGGGTTAAGATTTAATGACTTTAATAAAAGTATAATGATCCAATTTTATTTTTAAACACTGGTGAATTGTATAAGCAAATAACACATTAAATACACAGCATACTAACAGCAATGAACAAATCAAAACTTACCATTGGAAGCTGTGAAATCAATGGCCACTGTGAAATTGATCTGTGTCCTAGAAAAAAAAAATCACAGTATTTAGTATTTAGGCTATATAATTGTACAATCTACAACTGCAGATTATTTAGTCCATAACTTTTGAGAGAAATGAAATCCAGAGTTGTTTGAAACGCTACTTCCTCGATTCTACTTCCTTTTTCCTTCTAGTATTATTCTTATGCCAAGAATTAATTAGAATAAGATTTAATTTTTTAATCTCTTTCCCTAAAGAGATCTCAAAGAAGAGCTAAAAAGGCAGATGGTACTATTGTAAGTTTACAATGTTTCTCATCTATGGCTGACATGCTGTTTGTGTGCCATTAATGTCGCTCTTATTTATTTATATAAAAAGAATACTTACAGGAAGTTCATACTGGAATTTCTCATTGAGGAAAATCATACAAACCAGAATTGTAATGGTGACGTTAGACTGGTTAGGGTACAGAATGAGCTGAGATTGGTGAACAATGTTAACAAAAAAAACAAAAGTGTCCTCAGATATGATCAGAATAAGAGTAAGAGAAGAAAGAATCAGTATGTCAGCTGCTTATTTAGGATGTAAGATGCTAACAGATAAGAAAAAAAATAGAACTACTCAACTCTTATTTTGGCTCTGTCTTTTCCAATGGGAAAACATATATTCCAAACAACAACAATGAAAACTGCTGTATGGTCCCATTCGGATGGACCAGGAGTGAAGCTTGAGATAGGTAATATGAGGAACACTAGAGGAAATTCTTTCTAGGATACTGAAGGAAATTGCTGATAGTCTAAACACAGATTGTAGGAATGCTGCAAACATAATCCACAATGGCTGTAATGGCATTTGTGACAGCAAGTGTCTTAGACTTAAAGAAAACTAACTTCAACAAACTTAGAGAAAGCTTAGGAAGGATTCCATGGATGGAAATCTTAAAGGGGAAAACAACTCAAAATGCTTGGGAAACTCTGAAAAATGAGATTATTAAAGCTCAGTCTAACACAATACCATTGAGAAAGAAAAATAAGAGACCTTAGATGAAATCAGCATGGTTGCCTAAAGAACTCTCTGGTAAACTGAGAGACAAAAAGGACAAGCATAAAAGATGGACAGAGGGACGCATAACTAGAACAGAATACCAGCAAATAGCTCTAATCTGTAAGGATGAAGTCAGGAAAGTTCAGAATCAATTAAGACTTTCAAAAAATGCCAAAAATAATAATAAAAATTTCTTTCAACATGTAAAAGACAAGAAAAAGTCAATGAAACAATTGGTCTACCAATGAGAGAAGATGGCAAGGAGGTGAGGGAGAAAGCAGAACTGCTTAATTAATTCTTTGCATCTGTTTTTACACAAAAGGAAAAAACAGACCAACCTTTCAAAAGCATTATAGTAGAAGACAGACTAGGAATACAAGTCCAAGTAGGCAAGAAAAATGATAAGAGAACACCTAGCCACTCTAGCCGAGTTCAAATCACCAGGATCAGATGTATTACACCCCAGAGTTCTAAAGGAGCTGACAGATGTGATCTTGGAACCACTGGACCAAATCTTTCAAAGCTTGTGGAATACTGAGAAAATGCCAGAGGACTGGAAATGGAGCTTCAAAAGGGGAAAAAATGGATCCAGGAAACCACAGACCAATCAACCTGACATTGACACCTAGGAAAATCCTGGAAAAGATAATCAAGCAATGGATCTGCGAACACCTAGAAATGAGCAAAGCTATTACTAAATGCCAGCATAGGTTAGTTAAAAACTGCTGAAAGTTTCACCCCAGAGAGAAGAAAGAAGGGAGGCTTTCTCATTCTGTGAAATAAGCAATCTCCTGAGATGGACTTGACCCTATTCTTCTAGTATTCAGGAAGGCATTGAAAGACATTTCTAAAAGACATTTAACATCTACCTGTGTATGTTGGGTGGCCTTCAGTTACATTTAAAATAATTTTATGATTTAAATTCAAATGTTGACAGGTTTTTATGGCAGCTTTTTGTATAATAAGTTTATAAATCCCGCAAAACAGTGGCCTAAAATGCTATGAAATGAAATAAAGTGAAGACGTGTTTCATTGCTGCCAGTACCAGATACTAATAACTATATAATAACTATATAATAATAACTCTTTGTCTCTCCATGAGTTCTTATGAATCAGCACAATTCTCGGCTCCAGAGCCTATCTAGGTGAACAGGGAATAAGGGTTTAAAGGACAGTGAGCATTAGTGCTATTAAAATGGATGATTAAAAAAGCTGTCTGCAGACATTTCTCTGGCGGCCTTCTTAGATGAGATTCCAAATCTGTCATCTTCCACCCTCCACCAAAAGCAATTGCTCCCATGACAGGTCTTTCCTTCAAATGTCATACAAGCTTTCAATGAAAGAATGCAGCTGTCAGTAGTAGATAACATTTTAAAATGCCTGGTGGAAAGACAGAGACCAGGTTGAGGGGAAAGGCTTCTTTGTTTTGCTGCTCTGGAAATACATCCAAATTAGTTCTAGCATTGCCCAGGGATGTACTTTTAACTCTAGAAAAGAGCACTAAGATGTAACTATCTGGGGCTATGTAAAACTGAGAACCCCGTTGTTCCATTTCTTCAAATGGTAGTGTTTGAATTTTCCTAAATACTCAGAAGCTCAAAAGCCACACTCCCCATTTGTGTTTATTTCCATATTACCTCTGAGCCTGGAGATGTGGGGCAAATCCAATGACTAATAAAGGAAATCTATAAAATGTAAAATCAAAGTTATATAAAAAAATCTCCTGCATACAGAGCAAATTGGTCTCCAGCCCTTAAGCACTAACCTTTCACACAGCTTGCTGAGTTCAAAACAAACTTCATAATAATCAATTATGGTTGGTCACACAGCCAATTGATTAAACTGAATTTGGCATTTTTATCTATCTACTGAGTCCTTCAAAAACCTGGGATAAGCAGATGTTGTTGTTTGATGGTGTTAAATGTATCATTGCAAGATGTAAGCTGTTTCAAGTACAGCTGTCTTCTGCAATTGACTGATGATGATTTTGTCCATGCTGATGATGTTTATGTTATGCTCCAGTCGTTTTGGGATTGCATCCAGAAACCTATCCTTATTGGTACTATCTTTGCAATGACACTGGAACTGCTGGCCAGAAATGGTCTGCGCACGGGTGGTTCAAACCTGGCTCTGTGAGAAGGAGTGAATACCTGTTGCTTGATCCCGAGTTCCTGCCCCCTCCCCCAGCGGTTCAAAAGCATGCAACATTACAAGTAGATACCACTTCAGTGGGAGAAAAACCTAGTTGTGTTTGTGTGTGGGGACAGCGGAAGCTGACACTGGACCACGCCGGATGTGAGGCATCGCGATACAAGGTGAAGAAGCCCAGAAGAGCCAGCATCCTGAGTGCCACTAGTTAACTGTTATAAAGTAAACCGGTATGTCCCTGCAGAACAGTAAGGATAGGCACGCAAGCGCTGAACAGAATGAACTAGCAATTTAGGCAGTCAGGACTGCAGTGCGTCCAGCATTGTGTAGATTTCGCTGACATTCTATGCCACACGCTAAATAAATGCTTTCTTTTGTCACAGTCGTTCTACTTCTATTTGCAGGGCTATGTATTTTGTGATTTTCTCGTTATTATTTAATTATTAATAACTATTCAGGATAATGTTTGAACCAGGATAGTAAGAAATCATTAGACAAGCTTGGCAGAGGAACCCTGCTGGGAAGCTCACTTGACTTCTACCAAAAAAGAAAACAGATGGTCAAGGAAAGGAAGGAATAATTAGTAAGATGTTAAACTAAGTACCTTTCTCCTGAAATGAGAGGACCCTAAGGAAAAATTGGTCAATAAGAGGAGGCATGTTGAATTATTAACATGAATAAGGTAAAAGGATAATGATCTTCAAGAAAAAGAAGAATAAAACAAACTTACTAATATATTTCAGAGAATGAATCTACATCTTTTAGGATTCCTTCTGAGAAATTAATAATGGGTTAACAACCTGTTGGTTGTTAAGTGCTCTGAATGTGCTTTGATTGATTTCTAGACTCTAGTACTTCTCAAAAGCCACACACTGATCTCTGATGGATTCTTTAGTGATTGGATATTTGCATATGGAGAATGTGGGATTTTTATGGGCCAAGAATGGCTGGTAGATACATCACCTAAAATACTCTTGGCTGCAAACAACGAGCCCGCTGCCCAATGTCTAAACAAAAGCCAGCCCTCAGCAATATATAGAAAACAACAACAACAACAACAAAGCAGTAGCAAAGGCCGGAAATATCCTTCAGACTTGAGGAACTATAAGGGTTGCAGAAATTCAGAACCCCTATGCAGATGCCACTTGAAAAGTAGAGGACTGCAGAACAGCCCGATCAAGACTTTGCTTCCTAGTGAAATGGTGACTGCTATTACTTAGGGAAGGGAGCATTTTTAATGTGAGGTTCCCACAATGCATCATTTTGTTGCAGTATCCTTCACATTGCCTAATCCAGATGCATTACAATAAAATAAAATCTGGTTAGCATTTTAAACTAAACAATTTGTACAGATACAAATTACAACTTACAACAGTTCATTTAGTGACCGTTCAAACGGCATTGAAAAAAGCGTCTTGTGACCATTTTTCACACTTACGACCACTGCAGCATCCCCATGGTCACATGATCAAAATTCAGATGCTTGGCAACTGGTTCATATTTATGACGGTTGCAGTGTCCTGGGGTCACGTGATTACCTTTTGAGACCTTCTGGCAAGCAAAGTCAACAGGGAATCCAGATTCACTTAACAATCATATTACTAACTTAGTAAATGCAATGATTCACTTAACAACTGTGGCAGGAAAAGTTGTAAAGTGGGGCAAAACTCACTTAACAAATGTTTCACTTAGCAACATAAATTTGGGGCTCAGTTGCGGTTGTAACTCGAGGAATACTTGCACTTCTAAGTGTGACTAAATAAGTTAGTGACCCTTCAGGCAGAGCACATCTCTAAATTCTGCAATTACCAGTTTTCTCAACACCAAAATGTGCACCCTAGGGAAGACCACCTACTAAAGGCATTTGCTAGGAAAAGTTGCAGTGTTGTAAATGGATGGGAAAAGGGATGCATGGGAAAACTGAACAAAAGACACATTTGATTAACTATATGAAAAATCACGTGGACTGAATATAAAGAGATTTTTCTTATGAGAACTGGCTGTGATGACTCAGTATTTGGCAGGCAAAAGGGATTCTGACTGAGACAAAAGTATATCGGCAAAACAAAATCTCTCCAAGGTGCTTGAGCTTCTTTCTTCAAAATGACTTTGGACGTTTAGAGGCTTTTCTTCATTTTTTTTCGGTTGCAGCTTACAAGAGAAATAGGAAGTAATAAAGCTACATTATGTAAGATGAACACAGAAAATGGTAATAACTAAGCCTCTCCTAATTTACCTTATTCCTCATTTGTTTTACCTGTCTTCAATCTTTTATTAGCTTATGCTTTAAGATTCTACCCCAAATGCTTTATCTAAGGTAAGTTGTTCTTCTTAGGTCTAATAAATTAGGCACTGGACCAAAAGCTCTGTATTACATCGTCTTATACTGTCCCAAATATAAAGATATTTTCTTGCTTTTGTTTGCATATTTTGACATTAATTTTATATCGTGAAGTCCAGTAACATTAGACTAAAAACACCTTTTAGCAGGCATTCTCTATGCATGGCAAAAATTAGATCCAACCCTGTGTGTTTTTAGCAGCTTTCTTTATGTTCTTGTGTAACAGTTCCACTTTCTAAAAAACAGATAATCTGCTCACCACAGTTGGGCATGTATTTCGGATCTTCTGTACCCAACAATTTTCTTTCCAGTGTTCATTTGAATAATTTATCAGTAATTCAACGTCTGATGGTGCAAATAAGCACAATTCAAATCAGGAGGCAGAGCCATTTGTTACACTGACATAATTAGGGGAATCTATCTCCTTCTCTTTCCATTTTATTATCATAAAATCCCATGCACTAAGCTTTTTGAAAAGAGGATGGACAAAATGTGATAATAAATATGACATTATACAGATGCATCTGATACATGACCTTGTCCAGGTGTTCAATTGTATGAATGGCAGGCATATGTTAAGTTTTAAATCCTAAACAACTCAATGGCTGCTCTTCTGTGGCATTTTACAGTTGTTTATTTGGCAAGAAAATAGCACATAATTAGCTTGTGTCAGAGAGCTGCAGCATCTTTCTTGATCAGTTCTACTGGTAGTCACTCTGATATAAGCTAAACCTATTGAAATAAAATGTAAAGTGTAATTTTAATAGGAGATTACAGGTAGCCCTTGACTTACAACTGTAATGGAGCCTGACCCAATTTTATGACTTTTTTGTGCCAGCCTTGAAGTGAATTACTATGGTTGTTAAGTAAATATGTGGCCATTAAGTGAACACCATGGTTGTTAAGTGAACCCACTGTTCACTAGGGAGCACTTGTGCTGAAAACCAGAAGAAAATGCTGTTTTTTGGCAAAAACATTGTAAATTGTGGTCACATGACTGTGGGATGCTACAAATGATCATAAATGCAAGCTGGTTGCTGAGCACTCAGAATGTGGTCATGTAACCACAGGGGAGCACAGTCACCAGAACTTTGGAACCAAGTTGTGAGTACTTTTTCGGGGGGGGGGAATCTGTTGTAACTTCAAACAGTCACTAAGCAACCTGAAGTAAGTCAAGGACTGCCTGTATACTATTTGGGCATTCTCAAAGTAGAAGAAGTCCAATTACCACCACTAGCTAAAATTAAACTCTTGTTTGTCTAGTCCAGACATGTCAAACATAAGGCCTACGGGCTGCATCTGGCCCGTGATGGGCCCAGTTCCAACCCACAGAGCCGCCCTGGACAGCGAGAGACCGGCCTCCAGCTCCTTGGCCCACCCCAACTTGGCTGGGCACCCCCTGGGTGCACACACAAGAGGCAGTGAGCACATGGCGGCTGGCAGCCCCTCAGCCACCCATCAGATCCTGCAGCCCACGCAGTACAGGTGAGTCCAAGTGCCACGGCTGACAGGCCAGACCACCAAGCGGCAGGTGGAGGCAGAGGCACAGGGAGGGGGAAGCATGCTATCTGGCCCACCAGAAGCGCCAGGCAGCCAGCTGCCCACCCACCCCACCTAGCCGTGGCAGGTGCAGGCAAGTAAAGATAGATGGTGGGTCTGAGTGCCATGGCCACCAGGCCAACCCTCCAAGTAGCAGGCAGAGGCAGGGGGGAAGGCACGCAAAGACTGCCATGCTGTGGCCCCTGCCCCCTCGGCCTCCGCCATCCAACTTTGTCCTCCAGCTCTGCCGCACACACTGGACGAGCATCCCACCTGCCTGATGGCCCTGGCAAACATGAAGGGCAGGAAGCACTCCGTCCCCAAGAGGCAGCCGGGACTCCCATCCCTGCTTCACCTGAGCCCAGCCTTGGAGCTGCCCCACATGCACCTGGGCATCCACTGGGAAGTGGTGCCAGGCTGGGTCATTGGGTCCCGGCTTCCTGGGAGCTTGAGGCCTGCCCCTCACCACTCAGGGCCCTGGGCAGTCCAGGCTGCCATCCAGGGGACCCCCACACAGCCCAAGAGGGAAGGCAAGACTCCTGCAATGGACCAGGCTCCAGTGCCAGCCCCAGTCCCTCCTCCTCTTCTGGAGACCTCCGGATCGCCCCATAGCCCTACCCAGCCCCCCACAGGTGACCCCTCAACACAAGTGACATTGAGCAGGCCATGCCCATTCAGTTGGCCATGCCCACTCAGCCCCCCAAGGGCAACCACAATGCTGATGCGGCCCTCAATGAAATCGAGTTTGACATTATGCCACCAGCCCAGTGCTTCAGTTGTATCCATCTTTATCATCCATCTCTAATCCTACAACATAGTTTTACAATGAAATGTAAGAATCACCTGTTGCTGTGGTGGCAAACCTATGGCACGCGTGCCACAGGCGGCACGCAGAGCCCTCTCTGTGGGCACACCCATCGCCCCAGTCCTAGGCCTTCAGCTGGGTTTTATAAACCTTTTCGCTTTAGGCCTCCGCTGCCGTGTGCAAAAAAAAAAAAAAGGTTCAATCAATCAATCAATTTCAACTTTTCGCGGAAAAAAAAAAGATCTTGCAAAGTTGGAATTGATTGATTGAACTTTTTAGTCCCACAGTCTGCCGTTACCACCGCAGCCACACCCACGCAATGGGCCATGCCCACCCAATGGGCCACACCCACCCAATGGGTCACACCCACCCGGCACCCAACGATACATAACTGGGTTTTGGGTTGCAGTTTGGGCACTCGGTCTCTAAAAGGTTCACCATCACTGACCTATTGCATTCCCATGTCATGTCAAATTAGGATAATAAACCATTACTGGAACAAGAATCATGTTGGTGCAACAGCTGGATCTCTTCTGTTTGCTTCTTCTCTTTGGAGAAATGAAGCAAAGAGAGCTTTATATGGGAGCCATCTTTTGATCTTGGGACCACAACTCCAGTGATGCCAATGATGTGATCAGAGGGACCAGGGATAAAAAAATCTTAGCCTGCTTTGTTTTCTTTTGTGTATAGTGGATTGGGTTGGAAATAGGAGCATTTCACAATACTACAACTTTATCCTTGCATTCCCATCTCTATTTCTGTTTTTTCAGCTGAAAATCTTTGGCCATTTCGATGCTATCTTTTGGCAGCATGATTTGGATCTATCTTCTGAGGATTTTGGAGAATTTTAACAGGACATGTTTCGCTTCCTGGAGACTTGGGGAACATTCCCACTGTTTCTTTAGATATTTTCATACCTAAAATCATACAACTAAATATTATCATTTTGACACTCTGTTTTGGCAGGAGAAATTTTTGGACGTTTTAGAGGCTATAAATGGGGTGCCAGACTTACTAAATCTGTAGCAGGCTGTAGCTTGCCACTGAGGAACATTTGAACCTGGAATTAATATTATGCATTCTCAAACAAATCAGAATTCATAAACCTTGCTTTATAGCTTTTAAAAGTAATCCAGTTTTATCTGGGCATTTTAACCCTAATTCTGATGTTGGGGTTAATCATACTATGCCTTCTTCAAGACCTTGAAAACGAAAGAGCAAAATAATACTAGTCATTTGCATAATTTATTCTATTTATTTGTTCTGGCTGAAATACAATTCCATCTTAATTAGGCTACAGCAAGCACAGGTTGGTAGGAATACGTAGCCCAACAGTCTTTCCCATGATGTCTGGGTTAAGTTTCAGTGTTTTAGTAAGAGAGACCACTTACCCTCCTTTGATGTAATCTAGAAACGTATGTTCTGATTCTGTGGCAAATGACAGCAATGTTACCTTGAAAAGGAAGAAACAGGATGTATGTCACATAAGGACTCATGAAATAATTGTTACTGGGGCAGGAACATCTGTTGCTAATGATGATTTGCAGTCGTGTCCAAGGCCATCCCATCTTCAGTTTACTGCAAGTCCAATAGGTTACCACACCCCTGTTTTTTAAGATTATCAGATTTGGGTTGCAAAAATCCAGAAGAAATATTTATTTCTTTACTGAAGATTTGAACTCAGACTCACAAGACCAGTCGTAGCAGTTGCCTAGTAAAGTTTCACTCCGGTGGAGAATCTCTCAAAAGTATCATGACCGTATGGGGTTTTTTTGAAAAATCTAATGGACAAACCTGAACAGGGGGCAAATCTGAAAGACGTACACAAGGAAAAATAATAATTGTTTATAATTCTATTTTACAAAGGAAAATTCAAGAACTTTTCTGCTTTATAAAAATGCATATTCTAATAAAAATATCTAAAGTCAAACAGTATATGTAAATTTGTTTTAAAAAGATAATTCAATGTTCATATTTTTCACACAAATGTGAAAGACTGTGCATTAAACGGTATCATTTCTACAGTAAAACTTAAATGACCAAAATAAATGTCAAAAGTGACTTTTTGAAAAATAAAATCTAAAGGATAACTTTTTAAAATAAAGGGTGTTCTTTATAATAAAAACCATATGGTCACTGTACTCATAAGGAACAGAGTGAGTTATAATAATAATAATGATAAAGTTGGAAGGGACCTTGGAGGTCATCTAGTCCAACCTCCTGCTCAGGCAGGAAACCCTATACCATTTCGGACAAATGGCTGTCCAGTTTCTTCTTAAAAACATCCAGTGTTGGCGCATTCACCGCTTCTGGAGGCAGGTTGTTCCACTGGTTAATTGTTCTAACTGTCAGGAAGTTTCTCCTTAGTTCTAGGTTGCTTCTCTCTTTGGTTAGTTTCCACTCGTTGCTTCTTGTCCTGCCTTCAGGCGCTTTGGAGAATAGCCTGACTCCCTCTTCTTTGTGGCAGCCCCTGAGATATTGGAACACTGCTATTATGTCCCCCCTCATCCTTCTCTTTGTTAAACTAGACATACCCAATTCCAGCAACCGTTCCTTATATGTTTTAGCCTCTAGTCTAGATCATTTGATTAAAGAACATCGTTATTAACAGTGGCTTACCAGTTTTTCAAACAGGAATCTCTCTGGGTCCATAAGTTCATACTGGGAACTAAAGCTCAACTTTCTATATGGGATCTATTACTATGGCTCTTCCTTATATATCTAACAATTTAATCATTTTCTCCTATGGACAAGGAACAAAGAGCAAGCTACCATAATATATCATGCCATCATGCCAGAGGCATCAGCCAGATTTAACAATTACCAACAAAATAATCTAGATTTATCTGGCAAATGTATCAATCAGCCCAAATGCCTGCATTTTTCTTTGCATGCAGGAATTAACATTAATTCAAAATACTTTCTACATTTACTCTGTGTTGAAATATTTATCAGTTCTGTCTGCCTTTGATTCAAATCAGATTGCACTATTGTCTACTATTTTAATTGTGGAATCCTGGATACAGGATTGAAAGCCACCTGTTTTTATTGGCCCTTCCTCTTGCTGGTATTTGTATAATACAACTGCTGGGGAAAACAACAGTGATGGCCATGCATTATTTGCTCTTTAGTTTACGTCAATATATGCAATTTGCTGTCTATTTTCTATTGTTGCAGCTCAAATAAAAAAGAAATCCCAACTTCAAAATTACTCAGATAACACATTGGGGAAGTATTTTAATACATCAAGTACATTCATACTAATGTTACTCACTGTTCCTGAATTAGAGTATTTCTTTTTCTTCATTTTCTTTTTGGGATTTACCACCTGAGAGAAAGAAAGAAGAAAAATTATGCTAAACATCTCTGTGGAGACATCTGGTCTGGCTGAACCTGCAATGTATTACTAGAAGCAGTAGATGCCCTCCTGGTGTTTATACTAATTCCATCTCTAGACATGACAGTTTGTAGAGGGCTATTGGAAAACAAAATAAAAGATGTGATGCGGCCCCAAGGAGTTTACAAATTCTATTTAAACAAAAAGGAAGTCTAAGACTGAAGAGGCAAGTGGGAAAGGAGGCTCAGAGAACAAAATGTGGCTATGCTGTAAACAACTTCATTTGCAAATCATCTAGCTTCTGCTTTAGTTTTATATATGCTGGGGTTCTGTTTCAGCAATGCAGAGAGCAGGGACTTATGCTAAAGCCTCCCACAAACAAACAAATGAACCCTTTTGAAAAGCAATATGAAGAATTCAGCTTGTCTTGTTCTTGTCCTTGCAACTATCCCACAAGATGCTCGTTATTATTCATCATGTACCAATGAGAATGAAAACTGAAACACCAATTAAACTACTACAGGCAAGGAGATGGTGAAGCTTTGCCTCATGAGGTCCCAAACAGATCGACACATCTGTTACAGTCAACAGATCTTTCTAAACAGGCAAATGATGTTATCTTAATCCAGGTTAATCTTAATTAGTATACACTCCTTTTCCATGACACATACAAAAATAAGACTTCCTTTTAATATGACACCAAAACCAATTTATACTGTTCTTGCCCTGTGAACCAGGTATCTTTTAAGGAGTTGGGGAGGGGGGTATGTATTAAAGTGGAGGTATTTTACCATAATACCAATGGAATTTAAACTGGGTTTTTATCTTAAATAAAAGCTTATTTGTACAAATAAAATAAAATAATAAAATAAGTACGGTAGTAGGTGTAATTCCTAGCATGCCAAATATGAAATATGAATTAAATCAGTTGTAATATTGTACTGTATATGCCAGTGATGGCAAACCTTTTAGAGACTGAGTGCCCAAACTGCAACCCAAAACCCACTTATTTGTCACCGGGTGCCAGGTGGGTGTGGCCCACTGGGTGGGCATGACTGTGGGTGGTCATGGCAGACTGGGTGGGTGTGGCCAAGGTGGGCGTGATCACCTCAATGTTGCTCGTGGGGAGGGATGCATGTGGGGGCAGGGTTGGGGAAGATCCAGGGGGTCTCTGGCAGATGGGGCAGTGGGAAGGAGGCTCGTCCTGCGGGGTGAGGCAAGACGAGGCAGGGCAGGGGTGCCATTGTCGCAGGGCAAGGTGAGGCAGGGGCTGGGGTGGCTGCTGCCTGACACCATCGGCCCCCGCACACAGAGGCCAGCGAGCGCATGAGTGCTGGGATGCATCCGGCCACATGGGACCTTGGTGAGTTAGCAGGAGGCTGGTTGAAAAGGGACGGTTGCCATCTCCGGGGCATGGCGCGCGTGCCCACAGAAAGGGCTCTGAGTGCTGCCTCTGGCACGCGTGCCATAGGTTCGCCACCACTGATATATGCGCTATTCCATTGCGTTAGGATGAACTTGGTACCTATGACTATTCAGTCCTTTATCCCACCTACACCGACTACATTTTCCCAATGTTTTTATGCCATGACCTCCTCCGACCCCAGATTTTAATCTTATCACACCAAACACCCATAATATTTGACAATGCACTCTGCTTCAAGCACATGACGGCCAACACATGCTGTGGTATCACCCTTTCCTCAATCATGGGCTGCCATAGATCAAGTTACATGTGTGCCACACTACCTGACAAAAATATAGCGTTAGTACAGAATAAAAATTCTTCTTCTTCTTCTATGTTTTTTTTTTGTCTTAATCAAAGGAATATTTACTAAGCAGTTGTCCTGCTAATGTTTAGTCAACACCTATTAAATCTTAGTAGCTAGTACTGCAGCTGCATAATACTTGGGAATGAGGTTAAAGTGCCCTGCTTATCCTCTTCTCAAAGCCAGTAAAAAGTAAAGAAAAAAGTGTATAATTTATTCATATTAGGAAACTCAGATTTCCTTGCTAAAAGATTTGAGCTATTCTGGAGCAAAGGTTTCATTTTTAGCATGACGTACGCACCAGATTGCTACCATCTCAGCAGTTAAAGCTGGAGGCCATGCAGTCCTTCTGCTCTGTTCAACAGATCATCAAGCTATTGGAATTATTAGATGCTCTGATGCAAGTCCCAACATTCAAATAAACTGGGTGTTTCCTTCTGTTTCAAATCATAAATGTCTCCTGGGATATAATCCATGAAAATGCGGTTATGAAATAGAAAATTATTTTAAAGAAAAGAAACTGAAAATGCAAAGTATACTATGTAATCTAGTATTGTAAATGACCATAGGAAGTGTACAAATCTGACTTCTTTCAAATAGAAGATTATTGAAGAATGACAGTTCTAAGTTTAAAATAAAATATTTCTGAATTATGCTCTAATTCCAACGATCAAATTAACCATTCTGAGATAATTTTCTACTTAATATACAATATTTCAATAAATGAGAATAGAAACACAAATGTAAGAGAAATCCAGTTCTGAAGGATCTTTAGAAAGAAATTTGAAAATAAAGTTTCCACCATAATTTTTTATATCAATTTATGACACAGCTGTATTTGGAATTTGTATGGGTTAGAGACAATTCACTGCATATTCATTTGAAAGGGGCGGTTTTGCAAGCCACCTTGGTGCCAGCAAAATATCCCTCTTCAAAGCATTAAAATGGATGCAAGCTTTAAAAGGTTTATGTGGCCACTTTGAAGGCTTACTGCAGCATAGATACATCCATGTGGTCACCCCACTTCATTGAAAATCTCAGTAGGTCACAGTCTGCATACAAACGCACACATACAGACAACTGGGAAAAGACTTAAAGCTTTTACATGAAACTTTTAAGTAATGTGACGTTTCCAAAAGTTTGGTGAAGAATGCTTCATTCATATCTGTGAATGTTTTTTTTGAAGCGCTCATTTCCAAAGTTTTATACAGGTTTATTGGACATTAGAAAAGGTATAGCAGATTAGTGGGAGAGTCAAGGCTAATCAATGGAAGTGCCCTTCATAATGTATAGATTAGAATCTCTGTAGAATTCACTAATCCATAAATAACAGTGGCTGAGTAATTTTAAATGGGGATAGGGACAATGAAAGGAAGTATTGTGAATGGGCAGGCTAAAATATGGCATTCATAGGTGACCAAACTCATGTCAGACAGTTAATCCACATCCACAAGTGAACCATGATTCTTGGCCACATTTAAAATTAGACTGAGTCCCTCTCTCTTCTAAAGACAAAAGGGATTTTTTTTCAAGCACAGTGTGTAGTTGAACAAGGGAAAAGGGATGAAAAAGATTGAGAGTGCATTACTTCTTCAAGAGTCTCTGATTAGTCTCCCCCAAAACTGGAGGATGCAGAAAACTACTATTTAGATATTTCTGTTGAAATACATAAAGGTCCAGCTAGAAAACTGTGCTTGTTTTTTTCTTCTTTTCTTTTTCTGCATGGAAAAGAATAAAAAAATTGGGGTAAACCCAGTTTTCTAAACTATGCAGAAAAATAATATTAATTTTTGCTGCTTATTTTAGAAAATTGAGATTATTTAATTTTTTTGTTCATATATCAGGGGCATGAAGAGTGAATATTTTCTTTAGGATCTTCTTAAAAGTTATATATTCATCTGGAATTTTTGTATTTTCCCTTTCAAGAGTCTGCTGGAAAGCCGTCTGTTTATTTGTAGCAGGTCCACCCCATTTTGTGGCCTACCTTCTTTTGATTTTTCTATGGATTTTTGGTTTAGTTGGTGACCCTGATTAAGGCAACTCTTTAACTCTTTTTTTTAGAATGTTAAACATGTGTAATTTAAACTTTAACGTTCAAAAGGAGCATTGTAGTTTATCTCCTTCTCATAATAAAATTTGATTTTTCTATATCTTGTGAGATTTGTCCATATACCAAGCAAGAACTGAAATCTTTTAGCCATATGCCTCTAAGCTACACACTCAGGAGCTTGTGTTATAGGAAATATTCTATTTTATTTTTAACCTTTTAATAGCTAGAAAAGGAACAAAAGGTTTGAAAATCCCATATTTCTCATATATTGGGATGGGAAGCCACCCAGAGTTTTGTAAAAAAAAAAAAAAAAAAAAGGCAGCTATGTAAATGTTATGAATGAATGAATGAATGAATGAAATGAAATGAATGAAATGAATGAATGAATAATACAGAAAGGTTACAGGAAGTGTGTCAAGTAGGGAATTGGGTGATGGCAACAGGTACCAGTACTAGTTAGTAACTATTTGAAAGCAAGACATTAGGCCAAAGTGTGAAGACCTGGATGATTTCTGGGAGAAAAAGTTTGAAATATTCAGCTTTCCATTGAATGGGTTCAGCTAGCTCCATTATAAAAAGATAACACAATAAGTATCTACTAATCATATATTTTCTAGAAGCTCTTGCTAAATTTTAACAACCAGCAATCTCAGCCAGCATAGCCAGTAGTGAGGGTTACAAGGGCTACAGTTAAGCAATATTTGGAGAATCACAAGTTTTCCTATTAATGGCTTAAATATAATCTTATATATGGGTTCCTTCATTCCTTTGAAACGAAATAAGAAAAATATCAGATTTGATTTTATGGCCCTTTGCCAAAGAGAATGTCTTTCTTTTCATTATTATGAAAAACAGAAATGTAAATTCCTTTTCCAATTTCATGGCATCCTGTCCTCTAGAAGAGCAGAGTTTGTGAATTATATAAACTATGCAAATTTCTCATCTCTGTTTTCTTCTTCTCCTACCCTCTCTTACTGAGGAGAGAAACTAGGTTCTTTGAGAGGAGCAGCTGGGATCTCCCTGTGCCTAGTCAGGCCAGTCATATGAGAAATTGTCCTAGAACTGTCACATTAGATACTATTATAACAGGACTACTGAGCATAAGACATTAATATGCAAAAAAATGATTGGTAATAACGGGAACCCCAGGGTCTGAACTAACTGGCCACATA